TTCTATAAATTTAATGAAAGCAATATGTTATATTATTACGTATTCGAACTTTGTAACTTGTAAAAGTGAATTAAGCGGTTTCCGTTTTCGAATACCTATAAATAAAATAATTACTTTTAATTGGCAAAAATCTTTATTTTCGTTAATAATATTATCTCGTTTATGGTATTTCCTTTGTCGTGATCGGTATCGCCTTTCGTGGATTTTTCTTTACAAACAATGTTTTTGATTGATAAAACTGAAGGTTATGTAATATTTTAATGTTAATATTATCTAGGTTAGGTATTCCAATTTCCAATTATTATTTTATTTATTAATTAGATTTTGAATTTTGATTATTATATTAATAGATATCTCGTTCAATCGTATTGCAGACGGTATTTAAATATTCTAATATTAATCGAGCAGGTCTGCTTTAGCTTCTTTTAACCTATAGGTTGTGACGTTACATATTCCCTAATAAACAATTCAGGATTTTACGAAAGTTGATATATGTAATCTTCATCGTTTATATTATAATATTATGTAGATAACTCATTTACAAGAATTTTAATTTTTGTAATATTAATATTCTAATAAAATTGTTATGTTTGAGTAATAGGTACTCATTTTTTATGATATTTCGGAGGATGCCCAAAATCCCTTAATGATCCCATGAAATTCCTGTATATTTCATATCAATTGTAAACTTAAAAGTCTTGCGGTATTCATAAATGGAATACTTCCTCCCCCTATCAAAAATTAGCCTATGTTTGATTTCCTTATTTAAACTTAAAATTATAGGCATCATGGTCTTATTGATGATTGAAGTTTTTAAATTTTGCAGTTCTGACATGTTAATTTTTTTTTTTAATACCTACGTTATATATTCATCATATTGCTATATTATACATCGGTATTTTCGGGGCTATATGAACATTGCATATTGTTATTTTAGTGTCCAAATCTATGAAAGAAAAATAAAGTTATTAATTAATTCTTAAATTACCGCAAAATTACTCTTTATAGTCCTAGAATCTAGAAACCAAATCTCTAGTCGCTGTATATAGTTAATATTTCAAATTAATTGAAAATTCTAAAACCAACGACTATATTATTTTGCTTGGACCAAATGCACACCAATGCAGTAAAAAAAATTACGTGAAAAACTACATGCAGTGCTCTTCATGGTCACTCCTTAATTTAGCTGCTCCTTTTACATTGCTATTGCACTGGTTTTAATGTACACCAGTCTTAGAATCCTAAAAAAGTCATAAATAACCTAACCTTGTTTGAACTTAGATTTTTTAACAATAGTTTATAAATTAATGAAAATATTTTAAATGATTTTAAGTTTAAACTAGTCTTGATTTTAGCGTGAATGTATCTCTGTGCACGTTGGCCAAGCAGGAGTTCAAATTGGTAATGCTTGCTGGGAACTATATTGCTTAGAACATGGCATTCAACCTGATGGTCAAATGCCATCTGATAAAGCCAATGGCGATGACAGTTTCAATACATTTTTTAGTGAAACTGGTTATGGTAAACACGTTCCAAGAGCTGTATTTGTTGATTTAGAACCCACTGTTGTTGGTAATAAATATTTTATTTTATAATAGTGAAAACATTTGATTTGAATCTAAGTCACTATTATTATTTGTAGATGAAGTACGAACAGGCACATACAAACAACTTTTTCACCCTGAACAGTTGATAACAGGCAAAGAAGATGCAGCTAACAATTATGCTCGTGGTCATTATACTATTGGCAAGGAAATTGTTGATGTTGTGCTTGACCGTATTCGAAAGCTTGCCGACCAATGTACTGGTCTACAAGGATTTTTAATATTTCATTCATTTGGAGGAGGGACTGGTTCTGGTTTTGCATCATTACTAATGGAACGTTTAAGTGTTGATTATGGTAAAAAAAGTAAACTTGAATTTGCCATTTATCCTGCACCACAAGTGAGCATTATAGAAATGATCATGTACATCGATTATTATTTATTAATAGTTTACAAAACTCATATTTTAGGTATCCACAGCAGTAGTTGAACCATACAATTCAATTTTAACTACTCATACAACTCTTGAACATTCCGATTGTGCTTTCATGGTAGACAATGAAGCAATTTATGATATTTGTCGTCGGAACTTGGATATTGAACGACCTTCATACACCAATTTAAATCGTCTCATTGGACAGATAGTATCATCTATCACAGCTTCATTACGATTTGATGGAGCCTTGAATGTTGATTTAACTGAATTCCAAACTAACTTAGTGCCATATCCAAGAATACATTTTCCTTTAGTTACATATGCACCAGTCATATCAGCTGAGAAAGCTTATCATGAACAATTGTCTGTTGGTGAAATCACTAATGCTTGTTTTGAACCTGCCAATCAGATGGTTAAGTGTGATCCTCGACATGGTAAATATATGGCATGTTGTATGCTGTACAGGGGTGATGTTGTGCCCAAAGATGTAAATGCTGCAATTGCTGCAATAAAAACTAAACGTTCAATACAGTTTGTGGACTGGTGTCCTACTGGGTTTAAAGTTGGCATCAATTATCAACCCCCAACAGTAGTACCAGGAGGTGATTTAGCTAAAGTACAACGGGCTGTTTGTATGTTGTCCAATACTACAGCTATTGCTGAAGCATGGGCTCGTTTGGATCATAAGTTTGACTTGATGTATGCTAAAAGGGCCTTTGTTCATTGGTATGTTGGTGAAGGGATGGAAGAAGGGGAGTTTTCAGAAGCTAGAGAAGATTTAGCAGCTTTAGAGAAAGATTATGAAGAAGTGGGTTTAGATTCAGTTGAAGGACAATTTGATGAAGGAGGTGAAGATTTTTAATACAAAAAAGAGAACTGTTTATCGTACTACTTGTGAATAATAACTTAGTGTTAACAATTATCACTTAATATATAATTTATGATATTTAAATTCTATTAAGTAATAATTGTCAATATAAATAATGCGTAGGTTGTTTTATTTTTCTATTAGTCATGAAATACATTTAAAGAGTATTTTTTTTTAATTTTAAATGATACTTACAATTTTTTATTCTGATTGTTTAAACATTGTGTTATTAATAAATATGTAAAATAATAAGTAATTACCAATTTAGTTTATTAAATATTAAATATTATTTTCATTTTATTATTCTTATTGATTATTGTTTATTAATCTAAAATTATTCGGTAATATCTACAGTCTACAGACCTAAGACAACCAATTAGTGTTATAAATTGACACCATGCAATTTTTACATCTGTAAATATTTAGTCATTAATCTTATTATTTATTAACAACAGTCAACACTTATTATTTAATAATTTTTGTTTGTGTTTGCTTTATAATATTTCCTATATCGTACATGGATATTTTTTGAATTGAAATAATCTATTTTGTTCAATAATTTTATTTTAATTAACTAAGAAATTGTTGTTTATATCTGCACAAGAACTTCAATCTCCTTCAATTTCCAATAATTGTTTTAAAAAATTAAACTTAACAATATGAAAACGATAAAATGTTATACAATTTAACTTATATGACAGTCTAATATCATAATATATTCATATTTAATACAATATTTACAAGTTAGTAACTTGAAGTTACTACAAACAAATTGACCATTATTTACTAGTAAAATTGAGTACAAAAGTATATAGTGTTTTTAGTTATTTTAAGGTTTGTATTATTTATATTTTTCGCGCTTACTTAAACGTATAACCAAGTAATTAATATAGGTACCTATTTATAATTGTACAGAAAATATGTATACTTAATTGTAGATTAGGTTTGATATTAGCTATTAGGTACTTAATTTAGCATTAAATCAAGGTTGAGAAAATAATAACTTAGCGGGAAGTGGTAATTTAATTTACACCATATTAACATTTATAAATCGGAGCAGTAGCGAGGTCTATCCTGGCCATTTGACATAATATTTCCTCTTATAAATATTTAGCCCCCCCCCCTCTTCTACAAACAACTTTTTACTTAGTTTCAAGTAAGATTTAAGTTTTTGAATATTGAATGAATATATTTTTTTAATGTGTCAACTAATTAATATTTTTTCAAATTAAATCGAAAAAAGATAAAAACCAATAAATAGTAATAACAACTACTTCTAGACATTTTCATTCTTACATAATCTAAAATGTTATTAAAACCCAGATTACATTATCTATTTTAACATGTGTCTCGTATTAAATAATACAAATCAATTTTTAAAACTATTACCATCACTTGGAGTAAAAAGACCTATAGGCCAAGCCCTAGTTACATCGCTGTATTATAGTTAAGGAGATAGGTATTTATTTATGCCACAAATATCTTTTAAAATTAGTTTAATAGTTTTATCTGTAGATTTTCTCTTATTAACGCTAGCTAAAAGTTAATAGGTACTTTCATAGGATATAAGCATGAAGCTTGTTTTTAACTTGCGACTTGAAAGTTGTAGATACATATTGTCCATTGGTAAATTAATTTTTCAGAAACCTATAACCCCCATATTGTTTCCTAAAGACTTCGGAGTTAGGAGAATAAAATTGTGATTTGAGGTTTTCTAATGTCAGATATGTTATGATAAATATTACTGTATACTGTAGTAATATATTATGATAATTTTTATTTACATAACTTGATATAAGATAACCAATGAGATATTTTGATCAAATGATGAACAATAAATCAAGGATAGCCATATAATACAAGGTTAAGGTGACAATTACTAACTATTAACTATAAAAAAAATAGATCTTTCTTGTTATTTTGAAATATGAATGATCAGGATCTAGAATCTAGATAATACGGGTCCTATTTGTTCATACACATAAACACAAAACACACTATTTTTCGTCAAAATCTATTTTTTTCGTATTTATTCAGTGTTACCTTTTTATATACAGTTGGTAATAACTAAAAATGTGCTGGTGATTGTTTATCATCAATTCGTCGGCGGCTACTAAAACTAAACATCTAAAACCGAAAAATCAAAAGTTGAAAGACAAAAATGAAAATTTTCACAAATGTGATTTATAGATTACAATTTTAATTGTAATTGCTTTGTATAATTGTATATTTATTATTTGTATCTTACATCAATCAATATGTCAACTAGAAGCCAAAACACAACGGATTTTTCAGAGGTAAAAATTATTTAAAAATGTCAACGAATTTCAATAACAAATTAATATTTACTAATAATAATTTTATTTATGATACTTTAGGAAGTACAACGGCACTCTGTACATACATTAGTTTTTAGGTCACTTAAAAGGACTCATGACATGTTTTTATCATGTCAAGGGATGTTACCACCCATAGATGAAGAAGCGTAAGTTAATTGAGCACTGTTTTGTAATCAATGTTTTATTATATATATTTATTGTTATGTTTAGGGAGAAGATAAAAAAACTTGTTAAGGCTCGAGATTGTTATGGTCTTGTTTTTGACAAAGTGGAACGCAATAAGATAAACATGAAGAAATCTCAACCAAATCACCCTAAATCAGATAGCATTGATATCTATAAAGATAATCACCTTCCATTAGCCATAAGTAAGAATATATGATTATTGTTTAGAAAACACTAGCTAATTATTTTTTAATTTTTAGCTGATAATCCTGAGAAAGTAATTAAAAACACTGAGACTAGTATGGTGTTATCGAGTCCAAGTACACAAAACATAGCTGCAGCTAATCGACTGATTAATCATATTATGCCAAAACCAAAATGGCATCCTCCATGGAAGTTATACAGAGTGATATCTGGACATTTGGGTTGGGTGCGATGTGTTACTGTTGAACCTGGCAATGAGTGGTTTGCTACTGGTGCTGCTGATCGAGTTATTAAAGTAATATTACAACATAATTTCATGATATTGAATATTAATTTATATTTAATGTTATATTTTTTTATTGTTTTAGATTTGGGATTTAGCTACTGGTAAATTAAAACTTTCCTTAACTGGACATGTGAGTACTGTGCGAGGTTTACAAGTAAGTCCTAGGCACCCTTATTTATTCAGTTGTGGTGAAGATAGGCAAGTAAAATGTTGGGATTTGGAACATAATAAAGTAGTTCGACATTATCATGGACATTTAAGTGCAGTATATAGTCTTGCATTACATCCAACAATTGACGTATTATTAACTGCTGGACGAGATTCAACAGCTCGAGTATGGGACATGCGTACAAAAGCTAATGTTCATACACTTACTGGACATACAAATACAGTTGCTAGTGTTGTTGCACATGAATTTGAACCTCAAGTATGATGGTCTAAAGAAATGATTTATTTTGATAATGTATTATCATTTTTTTTCTTCTAATTTTGATTTAATTTTTCTGTTTAGGTATTGACTGGATCTCATGACTGCACAATTAGACTATGGGATTTAGCTGCTGGAAAAACTCGTGCAACTCTTACTAATCACAAAAAAAGTGTGAGGTCACTTGTTTTACATCCAAAAGTGTAAGTTTTCAATATTATTTAATATTTATAGAACAATTATGGTTTATTTAATTTTTTGTTACTATGTGATTTAAAGGTACATGTTTGCCAGCGCAAGTCCTGATAATATAAAACAATGGACATGCCCTGACGGGAAATTTATACAAAATCTTACGGGTCATAATGCTATAGTTAACTGTATGGCTGTGAATTCTGATGGAGTATTGATGTCTGGAGCAAATAATGGTTCAATGTATGCTTGGGATTGGAGAACTGGTTATAATTTTCAAAGAATGCAGGTATGTAATTTGTTATGTTATGAAATGTATGGTCATGTTAATAGTATTGATTAATTATTTATGACAAAATATGAACTATTTATTAAAGGCTCCTGTACAACCTGGATCAATGGATAGTGAAGCTGGAGTATTTGCTATGGCATTTGATAACAGTGGTACTAGACTTATTACAGCTGAAGCAGATAAAACTATAAAACTTTATCGAGAAGATGATACAGCTGTAAGTATATTACTAGAAGTTTTATGGAACAATGATAAACTATTGGTTTTACTTTACTTTAGATACTATTGCTATTTTTGTTTTTGTATGTTGTACAAAAATGCTCAAATATTTATTACAATTAATTTTGGTTTAATATTTAAGTGATAATCTAGAATAATTGATCAACAAAAAATAGTCTATTTTAATAATCTTGTTGTAAAGCATTATTATTAGTAGTAGAGTAATGGGTCAAACTTAAATTTTCACCTAGCCAAATTTTACTCAAACTTGAACTTTTAATAATTTCACCTCGTTAATCTTTACATCGGCTATATTTTATAATTTATTATAATTTAAATTCAAAAGTTCAACATATTTAAAAAAAAAATTTGTTTGATTTTTCACGAATGTTTTTAACATTTTAATATCTTAACCCTGTATTACTACTCAACACAATAATTACATTGCTACTACTCTGGGTCTCTTGGACCCATTTTCTAAAATTTACCTCAAATATGACTATTATTTACCTCTAATATATATTTATTTTATGATTGTACTATGTAAATAAGGTTTATTTGCTTTTTTTTTTGACATTAATATCTAATCTTTACATAATTTACTATTTTAAGTTATGATAATTATCTAATTAAATTTTATAAGTTTATAAATAATTATATTTTTGTATTTGTTTTAGACTGAAGAAAGCCATCCTATTAATTGGAAACCAGATATAATTCGAAGAAGGAAATATTAATATTTTTATAAGAAATTATTGACACTAATAAATGAATAATTTTTAAGTAATATTATTATTGACAAAGTTATTTAAGATCTATTCCATTTTAATAATCAAGAATGGGTTGATGAAATTCGTCTTATATGTATCATGAAAATTGTAATTAAATGTATATTGTTTACCAATATTTAATAGTTATACTTTAAATACTATTAAAATAAATTAGTAACTTAAACATGAATATTATATTTTTAACTATTTAGGTTATGAATTATTTAAAGATTTGGAATTAAATTTAGTTCAAAAATTCCTAGAGGAGTCTTTGTTATAAACATTTTGGTGATTTACTAAATTTATTTATTAAAAAGTTCTACTACTTTTATCAATAACAATTATTACAAATGTATCTAATCAGTGATCAAGATAAATGCATATCTATGTATGTTCTGATACTATGTACATAATGTGACATATCTATCTAATGATGCAAATAATAATACATCTATTTAATATCATTGATTATAAATACTTATTTTTGTACCTAATAAGCAATGATTCATGAATCAATAAATCTTGATAAAGCATTGTTTAAAAATTGAATTGTGTTTTAAAATGAACCTTGATTTAAAATCGCAGTCATAGAATACGTTTAAATTACTTAATGCTTAAATGTTTTGCTTTTGATTTAAAAGATAGATTGAAAATTGAAAAATAGGTATGCTACAATAAAAAATATTTTATATTTATCTTCAACTTCAACAATTGTGATGGGAAATTGTTGGTGATAACACAAAATGTAACAATTGGTGATAAAATTATATCATAATTGATATTTGATTACACTATCACTAAAAGGATAAAATTAAAAATTAATCTTGTATGGTTTTTATTTAAATAACATTTAATTTAAATTTATTATTATTATTCAAAATATACATACGTTAATATATACACACACAGTAAAAAATTCTAAAATGTTCCGAACAAATACGGCTGCTCTTCTATCACATGTGTTATACAATAAGCATGTACTAATAGTTCATGTACGAACAAAAAAAACACATTGGGTTAGTATTATAAATCAAATTGTATTAAAAAGGAATATAATTCATATTTTGTATAATTTGTCTACATTTTACAACCTGTTATTCAGTCTTCAATCAAGAAAAAAATTCATCCAAAAGATAAAGCATTAGAACACTTTGATGATTTTTATGGTTCAGTTTATGGAAAAAGATGGAAGTCCTTACGATTAGCACTGTTGTCACCACACAAATATATAGCTGTTGTTAATAATTTTGGTGATTCTGAAAAAGTTTCTCAAAATTTAGAGGTAGCTATTTGGAATAACTGTGTTCAACCAATAGTTTTAAAGTTTTAATATATTTAATTTATTAATAAATTAAAATATATTTATAGGGACTATGTTATTATATTTTTAATATATTGACTCTATTTTTTCAGTGGTTGGGAGCAATGAATATTAGAAAAGTAGTCGAAACAAATCTACAGAAAACCGAGGAGTTTACCGATGAAAAAAATATTCAAGAATTAGATAATAAATTAAAAAAACTTTTATTGAGCAATGAAAATAAAAGTGATACAAAAAAGGAAAAGTAAATATTTAAAAACTAGATTGATAGTAAAAGTATTTTTTTATTTATTTAAAATATATAAAGTGTAGAATATGTGGAAAAAGCATCACTTCACGAAAGTTTATTAGAAGCAGAACATGACGAAAGCAGATTAATTGATCCTGAAGCAAATTCTAATATTGGAGGATTATATCAATTTATACCAGCCACAGAACTTCATGGTAAGAGTGACTGGATTCCAGAATCTCAACATTACCAATATTATGAAGAAAATTCAGATTTTCCAATTAATTTAATTAACGAAGAAAATCCTCTAAACATTCCATCTCACTTACAAGTGTTTACATTTGATCGTGGAGATTTTACTCCATTTCCACATCCTAAAACTGGAGCTAATAAAGTCAGTGGTAAGATATGTACAAAATTATCTATTCATTATTCAATAGGCTATACCAATTTTTTTTATAAAATGTTTGTAATGATTTACTAATATTGTTATATAATTAGAAGTATATTGATATTTAATAACAGTAAAATATTATAATTAAAATTACATTTTTAATGACAATTTTTCATATAATACTTTTTTTAATTTTTGATCTATAAAAAAAGTTATATTTGTTCAAAATCATATAAATTAATTTGAAAAAATAGTATAGTTAGGTATATTCCCATGTATAATTTAATAAATTAATGTAAATCACTGAAAATAAATAAAAACTAATGGTATATGAATTGTATTAAATATTTTTGATTTAACTTTAGATTATTATTTGATGGACGGAGGTTCAATTTTACCTGTGTTTGCATTAGATTTAAAACTTGGCGACAGAGTATTAGATATGTGTTCAGCTCCGGGTGGTAAAGCATTAGCAACACTACAAACATTATTACCTGGTTAGTTACTACTTATTTTAATTATTTTTTATCTGTAAGGTCAACAACATAATTATTGATGTTCAATTTGAAAAAATTATGAGAAAATATAATTTACTACTATTTATTTATATTTTAGAATCATTGGTATGCAATGATATTCAAGAATCCAGAATTAAAAAAATACAGAATGTTATGTCTGAATATATTTCTGACTATCAAAGTTGGGGTTCACGTCTGATATTAACACAAATGAATGCACGATACATTAATGAACCTGATGTATACAATAAAGTAAAGAATAAGAATTTAGATATCGTTATTTATAAATATTGATTATAATCTTAATTTAAGTATTTTAAATTTATTGCTAAGTGAGGGGCTATTAGTTTACAATGCTATGTTTTAAATTGTTTTCAAATAATTTGTACAAGAAATAAGCAAGTATGTGTTTTGGATAAATCATTACTACTTACGAACAACTTAGATCTGCTGATGATACTATTTTGAGTTCAAAGTAGGCCTGGTCTTTTAATAATCTTTTGATTATTAGATTATTAAATTATTGATTATCCTCTAAGTTTTATAAATTGCAGTTAATCATAAATAATTAAGTAAACATGAAATTAATAAATAAATTAAAGAGACGTCATTTTTTAAAGTTTTATAATATCCTTAATACACTATCAACTTTTATAATATATTTTTTGTAAATAAATGTGTGGAAATTTGAATTTAATAACCATTTTCATAAATAAAATAATTATATTTTTATTTACTATCAGATATTAGTAGACGTTCCATGCACAAATGATCGTCATAGTTTAGAAAATAATGAAAATAACATGTTTAAACCAACTCGTGCTAAAGAACGTTTACAACTTCCTGAAATACAAGCTGATATTTTAAAGTAATACATACTTATATTTATGTTGATATTTCAATTAATATTACATTTTTTATTCTTAGATCTGCTTTATTGAACGTTGCTGTGGGTGGTACAGTAGTTTATTCAACCTGTTCTTTATCACCAATACAAAATGATGGTGTTGTCAAAATGGCTTTGAAAAAAATATGGGAAGAAACAAATCATCAAATTGTTGTCAAGTATGTTTTCTTTTCAGTAAAAATAATAAAAGTATATTATTAATATTGATTTTATTGCTTAGGGACTTGACAAAGCAATTTGAACCTCTTAAGTCTTTGTACTCATTTGGCAAAGGATTGAAATTTGGTCAAATGGTAATGCCATTTTTACCACTCAACTATGGCCCATTATATTTATGTAAATTAGTTAGAATAAAATAGTTATTGACATACTAATGTATTATTTAATTTAATGTTTTATAAATATATTGATTTGTTGAAAAAATATTTAAATGTTGTAAAAATTATTGTGCATTTTAACGCTAAAATAATGCTCAATTATTGAAAAAGAATATCCTTCTAATAGCTAGAATTAATTGTTGAATTTGCAGGATTTGGCAATAAAATAAAAACAATATTTTTATAACTATTGAATATAATTTATTTTATAACATTTTGTTGAAATTTGAATATTGTTTAGGCCTTAGGTAGTTTTTAATTTTCTTTAATTCAATAATTCAATTTATGTATAGTTAATAAATTTAATAATTAAAGATATATGTAATGAGCTATGAGTATTTTTAGGATGACTAACAGTATGAATCATTAACCCGATTATTAAATTGAAGTAATATTTTATAACCGTATTAACCGTTCCTATTTTTTTCAAGTTCACTTCTTCTGTGTTTGGAAGTTTTTCATAGTCAGGGTTGGCTTGAAGGTTGTTTTAAGTTTTGCACTTTAAACAGCCTTACGGCTTGCCAAATGCTTGTACAGGCATTAATTTTATACATTACAAATGGATTAAAAAATGTAAGAGTTTGAGTTTAACCACCAAATTATAAAAATTTTTATATATATGTTTTTAACAGTTTAATATAAATGGATGGTGTAGGCTGTGTGACTCGGCTCATTTTTTAAAATTTGTATTATAAATGTAATATGAAATAATTAATGTTGTGGTAGCCAATGATGCGAGCTTATGACTTTTGTTGGAAATAACATCTTCGTTTACTTATATTTTATAATTAATCAACATCTTTCTGTATTTTAAGCAATAATCTATAATTTACATTTGGTCAGATTCCAAATATTAAATAAATATAATATCCGATTCGATTAAGTCACTTGTAGGTCAATTGTAATTATTATTAAATTCGAAATTTTTTTTATCAAATATGTTCAAGGATTTCATATATTGGGTACTAACCAGTAGTGTATTGGTAAATATATTTATAGGTAAACGCAATACTAAAATATGTATATTCAACCTAAAAAATTTTTTGTCTCTCTGCTTAAATATTTTTTTTTCGTTAGTCTTCGCGTTAAAAAAAATTAGCTTAATTCCTTACACCATGTTTATAACTATTAACTACCTATTAACTTTTAATGTATTACTGTAAAATTAAAGACTGGTAACGTTAAGTACCTATCAATGTCCACTCGTTCGTTGTTATCATATACAACATATTTTTGTTTCAACATTGTGTCATCATAATATTCAAAATTCAAAACAATAAACGATTTTTAAATTTAATAAATTAATTTTAAAATACATTAAATACAGCGTATACTGATAAATAAGATAAATAATTCATTACACATAGACATCACAATTTTTTTCTATGAACTATGTAATAAGATTTATTTGAATTTTGAGTTATTTTAGGAGTGTATAAAATGATATTTTAAATTGGGTATAGGTACGCCGAAAATCAAAATTCTTCTGACGAGTACAGAGCGTATACTCTCGTGCGTATCCATATCAATACATCATTGGAACTAACATAGTACCATGTAAAGTAAATTGTAATTGTTATAATTTGTAACTTGTAAGCTGTAAGGAATTAGAGAATAGACTATTTCTATTTCCTAATTGCACTGGTCTACGAATTACAAGTACAAATTGTGGAAAATAAATCCTTTATTCTTTCTATAAAAGTTAAATTATTTTAAATACTTATTTAATGTTAAGTAGGGTCCAGATTTAAATGCCTTCAAAACTATCGAGTTGTTTTAAAAAATAATCATGTATGTCAATTTAACTATTTTAATACAGAAACTTTAAAAATGGCCACACATATTTTTTTTTGAAAAGCACGCAAGTATAAGAAAAACAATGGTTTAACTTTTGACTTTAAACATTTCTTTAACTGAACTAAACTAAGAATGATACGAAAACAAAATATCGAATGCGGGCGTACATAATATTTAATTACATTTAGTGTGCCATCATGGGCATTATTTATGTCTGTTTATACGCAATTAATTCTTAAACATTTTTAAAGTAGGTAAAATTAATTTTATTTATTTATTAATATTTTTATATTCAATAAACACAATATTTATCATTATTATATAATTTATACAATTATTGATATTATACAACTACCTATTTAAAAAAAAAAATATTTAAATTGAACGTGCCTGTGGCATTATTTCATAATATTTATAATAAGGATATTTTCATTGACATTTTTTTCCAACCACCATGAGTCACCTATCCGTTACTAGTGGCATCCGGTTACGACCGACCTACGGGCTGCGACCACTGACGATTAAGTCAATTGCACATTTGCACACCTATTGCGTAGTGCGTACACAATAATATGAAATAATCTAAAACCGTGGGCGGGCCCTTGGCTTATTGATAAGACGATTGATTAGATAACAAAGAGTTATTTATTTAAACTTTAAAGATTCGTCAGATCACATACTAATAACAGTAATAACACTAATAACTATATAAGATACACGGCTATTTATTGTTGTTGTTGATGTTGATATCTGCTGATCGGAGATTACGTTTTACGGTTACGCGACACGCCAAAGCGTATTAACTGCTTTTCAATTAGTTTGTAAGTCCACACATCGTCGTCGTCGTTGTCGTGACTTCAGTGTGCACTTTAAATCGCGTGCCCTACAAGATGACTCGGAGTTAGTGTACCGACCACGGCCGCCGCCGCCGATGGTCGTCGTCTTTGACGGGCGTTTGGTAGTGGTTGTGCGGCAGCCGCAGTCGGTGTCTGCTCGAAGGAAGGACGCCATCGCCGCGTTCGCGTGTCTGACGCCCGTTAATATTGCCTCCGTCCTCGAGTCGCGGTTACCATGTCTGAGAAGCAGCCGTGCACTTATCAGCAGACGCGGTTTCACCGGTTCCACGGTTACAATTTGAGTCTGCACGACCAGGACACTGTGGCCCACCGGGAGATGAGCTTCGCCAACGCCATAGTGTTCAGCGAACGGTCGCTGTCGCCGGGTGAAGTGTTCCTCATCGAGATCGAGAGCAGCGAGAACGGCTGGTCCGGACACATACGGCTGGGCCTGACCCAGCTCGATCCGGATGCGTTGCAACGCAGTGGCCATTTGCTGCCTCAATGCGCCATACCGGACATGGTGTCCAACAAAACGATGGGCGAGTCGTGGATATGCGCACTAACCAAACACCAGGCCTGGTACGACGCCAACTATCTGACCAAATACTTCCGGCTAGACGGCAATCATGTGTTCACGTCCCGGGGCACGTTCCCGACCAGCATTCTGAAGTCGTCGCGCGACGACAAAATGGATATCCTGCCGACGGATGTAGGCAGTCGGGTCGGTGTGTTGTACTTGCCCTGTGGCCAGAACATGGCAGTCATGCATTTCATCATCAACGGTGAGTTTGTCGTACCACTTTCGAGGACCATACCGTATAATGATGGTCCTATCAGAGCGGTCATTGATGTATACGGTGCCACTAAACGAGTCCGCGTTATACAAGTGTACAACGGTAAGATGTCTGCTAATAGTACATTATATATATACGTATATATTTTCCTCTGCATCGTGTTGATTTCGATCGATACGTGTTGGTATTTTAATGATCAACATGTAACATCATTATTATGTGCACAATATTATTTTACAAATATCATCAAAATGCATGTTACTTAGTGTTGTAGATGTTGAATTACAAGGATCTCGCGTTCAGACCCCTCCTGCTTACTTAGTAGTTTGGTTTTTATTTAATTTTATTAAAATAAATGTTTGACATTTATTGTACACTTTATTGCTCACAACTCTAATGATTCCATTGGCTTTGAAGTTTTTCTAATCACTGTTAGATAAATCTTAATATTAATTGTTATATACTTTTGTATTTTGTGTAAGTAATTATCATGAAATTGTTTTTGTGTTTCTAGTGAATTCATTGCAGAGTGCGTGCAGGGAAATTATTCTGAAGAACATCAAAGCAGCATCTGTATCAAAATTACCATTACCCAATGCTCTTAAAGAGTATCTCCTTTATAAGACTTAATCGGTGATTACATTTCTAAGTTATAACCCTAATTTTAGTTTCCAAGCTGTAATTGTACTTTTTTTTACCATTATATAAGTTTTATAATTTATTTTATAATAATTTTTATTGTTTTTATTTTGTGCCTAGAGAACATAATATGATGTGCAATATCTATATGATGTTTAATATTTTATTTTTTTTTGTTTTGTTCATCAAAAATGTTATTTATTATTTTTATGATTTAAAAAATATAAAAACCGTTTAGGTATAAAGTTAATCTTTTTTTATAAAAAATGATAATCTTTATTGAGATCTAGTTTTATTAAAAATAATAGTACTTATTTACCTAAAGTTCCTATTAAATTGTAAAAACAGAATAATTAAACTATATCATATTAACTGGTATTTATTGAATTAAAAAATGTTATTAAGATAGATTATTTAATTGTATAAAATATCTTCATTGTATTATTCACTCTAGTCTTTGATTTACAAGTAATATATGATCTAAATATAACTGCATAGGTCAAATTTTTATTTAGAATTTTTACTCAATAAGTTTGTTCCAATATGGAATTTGGAACTAGTTGCAGATGAATCTGTGTTACAAACTATGTATCATAACAATTTCTCTAATTCAGAGTCATCTCCATAATTATGCATCCACTATTGTTTTAATCACATGAACTTTATCTCAAAATTAGTGTAGTGAGATGTGTTGGAATGGAAAAACTATTATATTTAATAATTTGATTGTGTATTAGAATAATTTTTTTTGTTATTTCTTGATTTAAAATGTACAGTAAATTTGCTGTAGTTCAATACCCTTATGACATAAAACTTAAAATTTAAAGCAAAAGAAATAAATATGTATTGTAATATTGTTGTATTATAATAATTTTCTCAAAGTTACATTTATTAAAACAAAGATCTAAATAATAATGTAAAAATATTTTTAAATAATAATAATTAATAATACTAAAATTTAACATACATTTTTATAAATAAAACGGTAAAAATTATGGAACAAGAGCTAAAAACCAGTTCCAGATATAATACATACAACTAATTGTTTTTCTCAAACGTGATACATATAATATTCTTAAAACTATTTAATAAAATAATATCTAGTCTAAACAAATATTTAGCAATGTAACATTTAACCAAAAATTTTTTTATGTTCAATTGTACATTAACATTAAAATGATTATATTTTTTTTTAAATAGGAAATTTGAACAAAGGATTCAAACGACTACATTTTAAAATGGTTTTGTATTATATATATAATTAAATATAAATTAATACCAATAATTGTTATTATCGTACAGTCTTAAAAAAAAATGTATAAAATAAAAGTAATAAAATTTGGAATGTTAAAATTCAAAATTTACATGTAATTCTAAGAATCATTTGTATCACTATTTAGTGACGTTTGTGCACTATTGATTTTATTATCTGGAGTCATTAACAAATCTTTTTTGACCTGTATACGTTGTTTAAAACCTGCATAAACTCTTCGTTCCTGCTTTGAGGTTTGTCCATTTAGTGATGCATTATTTTGAATTTCCAAAGATTTTTGTGGTGGTATTTTTACAATTTTCTTAGAAGTTTGTAGAATATTATAAGGACGGTACCTCATAATATTATTCCTAGGTTGACTTCTAACAGATTTATTTTGAATTGCATCTAAACCTAATTAACAAATCAAATTAATTTTGTTTTTAGAAAAATTAATTCATTATACAATAAATACTTGAGTGAGTATTTGGTATTAATGGTGGTTTTGGCACATTTGACATTAATTTTGGTTTTGCATTGCTTTTCACTTCAGGCGGATTGTTGCCATCTTCAATTATTTTAACATTATCATTTTTTGCGACTTTGAGTTCATCATCAGCTAAAATTTAAACCATTGAAAGTTAAAAGGGCACACAACACATAAACACACGCTAATTGTTTTAAGTTTTCAAAGTGCAATATTTTAAGATGTGAAAAATAGAAGATGCATGACATACATACAGATTAAATAAATTTTAAACATATCATCTTCAGCACAAAAATAAAATTTGAAGATAGGTCAGTTATTGTATAAAGCTCAATTAATTCAAACAACTATTTTAAATTTCATAATATTTTTTAAGACTAGATGTTCCCAAAATCCTTTTTAATAGTTCTGACTAAAATAATTCAATGCAAAAAAATTGTGCTAAATTCTCCTTGTCAAACAGAGTAAAGAATATAATTAACACATTACTTAGATAAGTATTAGGATAGTTTGTATTGTTAATAGTGTTTATTCCATTGTTACATCCATTTTTTTTTTATTATATTTATCTAATAAAACTATTTGCATACTTTTTAAATTTAAATTTAGAAAGAAATATATTAGTTTTACGACAACATGGTTTTTTTTAGTGAATTTTATGAATCTCCATCCATTTCTAAATGGAACAAAAATATAAACTTATTGAGTCTTAAGATTATTTTGAGTAAAATATAAAATTAAGCTTTTACATAATATATAGAGGTGTCTATAAAACATAGTTAATATAATTTTTATGATTTGTTGGATAAAAAAAAATCATAACATTATTATGTATAGGCTGAGAATTTTTGGATTATTTTAATATTTAAAAATATATTTTAGGCTTTTGTTTTTAAACCCACCAAATCTTCAGATTATCAAGTAGAATACGTTACTAATTATATTAAAAAAAAAAAAAAAATAATAATAATAATATAACGGAAAGTTCACATTATTCTCTGAAGCTATGTTTAATTTAGTCCATTCAAATATTTACCAGCTTAAATTTTTTTTGTTAAATGAACAATGCAACACATATATTAAAATGAGAAGTACTCATACTATTAATATTAGAAATAGTATATAAAAAAAAAAATCAGAGACCAAATGCAAATGTTGAATTCAAACTAATACAATTTGAATATAAACAAAGTTTATCTTGTATATTTTTGCCAATACAAGAAATTCAATTTAATTATTACCTATATTTATTTATTTATAAATAAGTATTAAATTAATTATACAAAACATATTTTACGCATTATTTACATTTTGAAAGTGTACATATTGTCAACACCATTGGTTAAAATATTGTGAAAAGCATATTATGTATAGAAAATGGTAAGATGAATGTGTGATGAAATTTTAAGTATTCATGATTATTGAATACTATTTAATAGTATTTTATTAGTATTCATTAATGAATTATAAAAAGACAGAAAATTGTAATTTTATAAGTTAATATCCGATTTTGTTAAATTTTTAATGTCATATATTTTTTATAGAATTATTCTCAATTTTATTTTTTGAATTCAGTAATAACAGCTCATTAGGAACCTTATAATTATTATCTCTATTGATACCATTTTTAAATTTTTTTTTCTTTATTGAAATGCTTAATTATAAACAGTTCCTAATAAGTTGAATTAAACAATAATTCAAAAATTATAGTTGTGCTTCATACATAATTTTTATGATTATTTTAAGAAATATTATACTTAATAATACTTGTTAAGTTACTTGGCAAAATTTGTTTTCGTGAGGTGGCTGGAGAAATATATCTTTCTATATTTTTGGTGTGTAAATTGTCATCTATTTCTTCAAAATCATCATCAGCGCCACTGTCAATTTTTAACTCATCGTCACCTAAAAATGAATTGTCAATAATTGTGTTAGTTAATTTGAATTTAATATACATATATATTAAGATTTATACTTATATCTGAGTCACTGGAAGTAACTCGTTTAGTATTTTCAATAGAATTATTATCTCGCATTTTTCTTATAGCTTCTGGAAGTTTGTTTTCAGAAATGTCAGGAATAAATTCACATTCAATTTCATGTATATCTTCATCATAATCTCCTTCATACTCATTCTATTAAATTAAACACCATTAATAAGTTTAAAACATTCATAAAAATGTTAATTGAGTTATATTTTTTAACTTTATAAAAATATTGTAAATTATACTGTACAAGTAGATATTACAAGTTATGAATACTTACACCCATTACTCTTCTCTCATGTGTCATAAGTATTCTGAATTCTTCATCAGAAATATCGTTGTGTTTAAGTTTAATTCTAGGAGTGGACATTACTTTAAATTGTTTGGGTTGAGCTATAGTATTAGGCTCCTCTTCATTAACACATGAATCAACAGTTTGAGAATTAGGACCATCTCCTCTCCTGTTTAATTGCTAAAATTATAAAATATAGTTAATAAAAATTAATTAGACTAAAAATGTACAAATAATTTTGATTTTACAGCAATTATATTGGTATTTGTTAATGATTCGTGTGGTTCACTATATTCAGTATATTTAAGTAATACTTGATCCATGTCTGTACTAGCATACTGGTACAACTTGTTGGACTTGTTAAAAATAATGATTGCTACTTCACAATCACATAATACACTTAACTCGTAAGCTTTCTTCATGACACCAAATTTGCGTTTGTTAAACGTCACCTATAAAAGTTGACAATTAATATTAAGAAATTGGAAATTATAATAACAATACATACATGGCGGTTTCGTTCATCTGTGATTTTGGATATATTAATTTTCTTGCGTCCCATGATGCACAATTACTAATGATAACGGATTAATTTAATTTGACTTCAGTGTTAGAAGTTAGAATAATAGCGCGTCTTCAAATTACAAATTACCTTTAAATTCAAATTAAGACTTAACAATAATTATTAATAAAAATTAGTTTTGTGATAGCAAATATATATAATATGAGTTATACACATAACAATACAGTGATGGTTTCCTGACGTTTTGTACTGTTTGGTAGCTGGTACCAACAAAAAATAACAACATAAGAACATATGAATTCTAAATATCAACCAGCGGGTAATAATATATATTTATATTTTTAGTTGTTGGTTATCTAAAAAATAAATATTTATGATAATCTTAGGAAAGTACCTGTACGACAATAATAAAATAGGTTTCTGAAACGTTTAAAATTAGAACTTGGTTTCTAAAAATTAAAAATACAATCGGTATTCCGTGATGCGTGTTTTACTGTTTTATTTTATTGTAAGTAATAAGTATGTAAGGTTATCTCACGTCCTATAGAAAACTATTTCTATATAATTTCCAATATCAACACATTAAAGTAACCAAAGACTTTCTATGTCTTGAGATAATGTAATAATAAAACTAAACTATAACCACGGTTACTTACTTACTAATATAATAAACCCAGGTATATTGTTGTGAATAGTATTACAACTATGGTAACCGCGGTAAGAAGATTTATATTTTGTAAAATTCTTACATCGCTGTCACGAGATGGCGACACTATAAATTTATTCTGTCTAAATATAAATACTAAACACTGAGAAATAGGTAGGTAGTGATTAGTGATTACTGCTTATATTATAATGTCTAAAAACTCTAAAATATTTATGTATCGATGATTTTGCTCGATGTTTTTTGTAGATTTATCATTTATCTCTCATTAAATGTAAACTATAGATATTTTTAAAAGATATTTTATTATTTGTGTTTCAGAGTAAATAGGAGGTATGTAAGTATGTTGTTTAAAAAAAATCCGACCAAGAACTAACATAAAACAAAACTACTTATAAAATTTCATATTCATAGCTTTAACGATTTCGACTAGACGATGATGAATTAATAAATCAGTAGGCACATGTTATTTTATATGTATATAATATTATAGATTATGTGATTCGTAATTTTTGATTAACATGCAATAATGCAAAACAATATTCTAGACACGAAATAAATGATTGTAGATTCCTACAAGGTGAATATTTAAAAAAATTAATATTTATTTTATCAAAAGTAGGTAATAGGTTTTAAGGTTTTTTAGTTTTTGGAAATATATATTTTTTTTTAATTACCTTTTTGAATTACTTCAAATGACGTCATTGCAGGGTCGTCATTAATGGTATTGCAGGGTATGCTTATTTATACACATACCTACAATTTATCGAGATACAATTTGGCCTGACTAAAATTATTCTTTTTTATATATATTTAGTATAGGGTGACCATTTTTATAAAAATAAAAAACGGGATAAACAAATTTTTATTAATATGATAATTTTTTTATTTTTCCAATTACATTTAAATTACAATTTATTTAAATAAAAAAATAACAATCAGAACTGGGATTTAAATGCTCTGAAAAATCTCATAAAATGCTCTTAAAAAAATTCAAAAATGACTTAAAAAACTTAAAAATGCATTGTAATTTATTCATTATAGGTAGCTTAAAAATTGGAAAATAATTTGAAAAGAAACTAGTTGTGAATTTTTTTTTTTAATAATACGTGGTTATAGTTGTTTTGTTGAATGTTCTACTGTTTTTTCTGAATCATAAACAGAAAAACCTAGCTCTGATAAAGTATTTATTATTGACGATAACTTATCGTACCCTTAGCAGTTTGTCAAAAGTCTCTTGTTAATCGCAACAATTTTCGTTCATTCTATGAAAAAATTGTGAAAAATGCTTTAAAACCTGACAAAATCGTTAAAAAATGCCCTATAAATGCATTTAAGATTGATTTAGTCAAAACATGCAAAAAAAAAAAAAAATTATATTACTTTAAAATAATTAGTATTACCCAAAACACATTTTATACTTACGACTAATAATGTTTTGAAACACCAGAAAAAAAGATGCCTTTGCATCAAAATCTCAACCCAAATAATAATTATTATAGGTTGCTCTTTTTAAAATTGTTTTATATTTTTTTTACAAAAATTTTTTAATAATATAGAAATAACAGGATTAAATCGATAGCATATTTTAAAAATGTAATACGTTCGGAATTTGTTGAGACAACGGGACACGATTATTAAAAAAGGGACAATCTTGTTTTAAACGGGACGTACAGTCACCATACATTAGTTTCAACTCTCAAACATCGGCAGGGCCGGATTAATGTATAGGCAGTATAGGCAGTATAGGCTATTGTCTATAGAGCATTAAATTTTAAAGAGAGCAAAGCAGAATATTATACTATATCCTATTTTTTATTAAAAATTTTTATTTATTTATTTTTTTTTTTTTTGACGGATTTCGTAGGTATTGAATTTTATTGAAAATGTACTAAAAAATGCCTAATTGCTTTAATATTTTTGTTTTGTTTAAATTGAGATAGATAATAATTAGTTTATTTTTATTTGTATTTTCCATTTATAGCGTATTTATGTTTTGTGAGTTAATATTTAGTTATTTAAGGATATTATGGCACCGCTTCCATCAATGGACATTTTTAAAACCGTACATATTATTAGGTAAGATATTAGTTGCATTTAACGTGCATCCTTAAATTTTGTTTTATTGTTAGTTAATAGTGTTTAATACTTTAATATAATACATAAAATTGTGTACGTTACGTTTTATACAATGTGATTATGAAAAATCGAACCATGCAAACGAACGTATTAAAAAAAAAATGAAAATATTAAAAAAAAACTGTGGAATAGGTTTTGCGTGTACCTCGGCATTCAGTAGGTTACTGTAATGGATGTGTTATTTAAATTCAATAACAAATCGGATGCGCTGTAAATTCACATGCGAATTTACATTTTTTAAATGATTGCAGCTTCGTGTAACCGTATTCTATACTCCGCGCCACGAGTGTCCACAACCCGGCGATGACCAAAACACGGCGTTGTCCACGCATTACCCAGCGGCTAGCACAAGTCTCACGACAGCAACTGCGTGGTGGGAGATTTCCTTTATTTGGATGTGAGGTGGAGTTGCGGTCTCTCGTTGTGCGAAGGTTATCTCCGCACAATCGAAAAATTAAAACACCGGAGCTTCACATTTACCAATAAACTCGAAGTTTACATTAGGAGTTATATAATCGGTGCCCATGACTTATCACATGGCATATCTGCCTATAATTTAAAGCATGGAATCGGATTGATGGGAAATACCTATTAAAATTGCCTTTTTCGCTATATCGGCGTAACATATCATGTTATAATTAAATTATTTTCTGCAAGACAATCATATCTAATCATTGTGTATTGATTAATATTCCATGTTTAGGTGAATTTAGTTCTGAGTATGTGAAATGTTCTTTAGTGTGATGTCATTTTGTTATTGATCACGTAAATATTATAAAAGTATTAACTATTAAGGTACCTATAGTGTATAGACAAATAAAAAAATAAAAATTTGAATTATTCTTATCTAAATGCTTACGTATATGTTTAAATAAGAGAAAATCGGATAGGAATACATCAAAAAATCATGTAAAACTAAATTATTATTAATATTCAGTGACCAAGTTTTTTTTTACGAGAAACAGACACGCATCATATGTATGAAAACATTGAACTAAAATTGTTCGACAAACTTAGTTATAATAAAAGAAAAAAAAATGGATAATTATCTTAATGATTGTCTTTTAAAAATACTTTATAAAACTTATAAAACACGAAATAGCTAACCAAAGAAGCATCGATTTTTACACGTAAAGACACAAAATTAATTAGATGTAAAATATTTCTTGGGAATGTTGCGAAGTTTGCTAAAGCTTTTAAAATAATTTTATCAAGTACATTCATAAATGATGATAGCCTAAAAACATTGAAGGATGAATATTTTATTTTAGCGAGTAACCCATTATATCATATTGTTATATTATAATGACGTTCATACAAATTGTGTTCTGTTTATTCCTAAATAAAAATAAAAATTTGTAAACAGCTACGAGTCGTTTGGAAAAAATTACGTAAAAAATGTTCATCTTTAAACAGACGTTTGTATTCAGAAACTTGATTCATTAATTTTGAATTTTCTATGTATTCATTGTGTAAGAGAAATATTTTTTATATTAATTATTGTTGATGTCGTTTTTATCTTGGTAAATAGTATGTGTGTCTACCACTTTACTGTACCTCTATTAAAATTATGAACGCATAAATTATAGGTACCTGTTTGAAATTGTATTCATAACATAATATTGTAATATATCTAATAATTTAAATAAAATTTGTTAATATGCGTAGAAAAATAAAAAATGGCGACTTCTTACAATAGTACAAAATTAAAGTTCTAAAAATTATTTGGTCTTATATTTCTGGATTACAATGAGATTGAATGATAATTTGAATTTATAAATAACAAACTTAATAATCCATGAATTATGAAGCCGTCAATAATATTAAAAATAATTTAATAACACGAATTCTTGCTTTCAAATGAATTTTTAAAATTGTTACTTAAGTCATTATGGTTTTAATTTATTTATAATAATATATTAATTTATTTACCTAGTAATTTTAAAAGTTGTAAATAATAGATCATAAAAGTACATAGGTAAAAAGTAGAAAAAAAAAGCCTTTTACGGGAGTCACAGTGTAAAAAACACCTTTTGTTGCCAAATTATGGTGCTCCAAAAATTACAAGCCTTTAAATCAGTAGGCTCAGTGTTCCGTAAAATAGTCATTATTATTTATTTTCTAATTATCTACGGTAATGGAAAAATTATATTAATATGTAAAATCAAGTTTAGTAACATATTATTTTAACGTTATTAAATTTGAACTTAAAACAATTAAATAAATACGATAATATACTAACATATGGCATACCGTATAGTGTCCAAGTTCATTATAGAACAATAGAACATGTTAATACATTCTACGTGTCATAGGAGTTATATTTAAACTAATTTAAATTGTAACGTATTATATTTTCTTTTTTCGTTAAATTTAAAAAACAAATTAATTTAGCTATTATTATTATATTACAGTATTAATTATACTTCTGATCTCTCTAGTCTTAAAAAAATAGTACACATATAATTGTTTACCACCCACCCTAACATTTTTGGCGGAGGGGTTACTTAAAAAAAAAAAATATCAACATGCTACTACCGCATGGCGCATATACAGTTGCATTATGTAAATAGGT